GGGGGGGGGGGCTTAGACGTGTATCACTTTACCCATGGGGAGACTTAGACGTGGACCATCTTGCACATGGGGGTCCTCAGGCAGAGTCTAAGAGGGGACACGCCAGGCAGGGGATCATTTCCTATGCTTTTGACGGCCATTTCGATTAATGAAATGATATCGAAACAGCTCCAAACACTTAATAGAGTAGCTCTCTATATATTCTAGTTTACAAAGCAGCTGATTTATGGCCAAGACTGAAGGCCAATGCCTATTTTTTAAAGACATAGACATATTTCTTCGATTCCCATAATGGAGAAAGACATTAAGGGGAATCGAAAACCTGACTAAAATCCGTCGTCATTTAGATTTGCGAATTCCTGCCCCATTGCTTACCCTTTTACGGCATATAGACAATGTGTCACGTGTTTTTTATAACTTTCCACAAAAAAAAAGTTGATGAAAAAAAACAGTAATAATGAAAGCGATGTTATATGTCACGATGATATAAATCTATCCATTATCTGGCAGCTTTCGGTTGAATTACTGGATAATTCCTCCCCATCCCTCTGTTGATTCACACGTACGGTTTAGCCTTGAAAGGGCCTGTAAATTGTTTTTTCAATGTTCATTATGACATGCTATGAATTCAAAATTATACAAATAACAATTTATGGTCCAGGAAAAATGTGTGCGTGCGTTAGAAATAATAGACCTGCATGATTACATTAAATTAGACCTTAGAAAAACGTCTTAAGAGTCAAATAGCTATCGGATATTTTTTTGTGAAATCAACAAAATAACTGACAGAAAGTTGTATACCATAGGGATTTTTTTTTAATATGTTTTTTTTTTTTTTTTTTTTTTTTTGAACGTCAAAATTCTGCAGTTAACTTTTACGCACTACACGTATAAATGATTTTTTTTTCAGAGAAAAAAATTGAAAACATCTTCCTAGTTTGTATGGAAATCGTTTCATTTTATTTAGCGGAGACATCACGTTCATAATGGACTATTTCTCATATGACTTATGATGAAGGGATACTTGTGAAATTCGTGCTTTTTTTGGTCAATAACTTTCAACTTAAACTGGGTTTTATTTTAGAAATATCATTTGTTGCACGCGATCGTGAAATTTAATTTCATGGTACAAAAAGAATTTTAAATTGATATCTTTCTTATTTAATTGAAGCCTGCTATTACTTCTGCTGTCACCTGAAAAAACTCCATTTCCTTATTAATTAAAATATTTTGTTTATTTCTTTTTTGAAATGATTCATGTAAAAATCAAGAAAAAGTGGGTATATAAAGTGCTCGGAAAGGTTTCTTCGCATCTGTTCATGATTCAGATTTGTGGAAGAGGAACACAATGAAATTGGTGAGTTTTCAGTATAATTTAAAATTTTATATAAACGAGGGTAGGATCCCACTAGTTTACACATTAGTTTCTATTCGATTAATGAACCAGTTTAAAAAACTATAAGTATCGGTCATTTGAGTGAAGGTCTCCCAAAGAGATTTTTGTATAGAATTTTAGCAAGGAAACGTAATAAATTTTGAGATTAAATTGTGTGTTGGAAATCCATACGACTTGAAACAAAGATTATGGAAATAGATAATGAATAATCTCTCTCTCTCTCTCTCTCTCTCTCTCTCTCTCTCTCTCTCTATATATATATATATATATATATATATATATATATATTGTCACATTCCAGACAAACCTTGCCCTGGCAATCCTGTGCCTGTGTGTTTCCATGGCACAAGCCACGAAATACGGCGTCCGGAGTCAGCAGCAGCTTTACCCCGGAAAACCCGTTCGCTCTCCCGTAGGAGCCTATGGGACCCACCCCTCATTAGGACCCAAGCCTCTACCAGCTGGTCCTTTGGGAGGTGGTGGGCTTGGAGCGCTGTACCGCAATCAAATGGTGTACGACTTTGGAGCGGAATGCCCAGTGCCTGTGAACGTCAGCGCGGTTTATTATAACTACCGAGATTCGTTCATCTTTGATATGCCTTCTCACGCTGACAAGTGAGTGGGCTGTTTTTCCTTAAGTAATAGGCCTAATAAAAATATAAGTAAAATAATAATAATAATAATTTAAAAAGAGGAGAATACATTCCATCGTTTTCATCTAATATAAGATGGAAAAACAATTGATTTGTCGCCACATTTATTCATGAGTAGTCTATTGTAAAAAAAAAAAAAANTCATGAGTAGTCTATTGTAAAAAAACAAACAAATAAGGACCACCTAACATTTTTTGTTTTTCAAAATTTTAAACTCAAAGTAAATTTTCGACTTCAGTTGCGATGTGGCCAAACACATGTGCATACATCAAACGATTTTTTTGCTTTCGTTTTAGAACCCGATATGAAAATGATCTCAAGAAGTACGCTCCTCAGCATTATGACTTGGCGAACAAGTTGGGTCAAGCCTACAGCCCGAGAGAAAAGCCACAATTGCACGGGTAAGTTTGTTTCTGGTTCTTTCATTGTGTGCAATCATATTCCATGTATATAAATCCTCATTCGGTTGTGTTTCCCTGTAAGCCCGTGTAACTCTTGGCTCGTGTTTGTGACGCCATATACAAATTTCCTTTGCATAATTGTGACGTCATCTCATTAATACGACGACATGTTCAACAGGTACTCTATGAAGAAGTGTGACATGTGCCCAGACAAGAAGTCTAGAGTGGTGGGATTCAAGTGGAACCCTAACGCCGACTACAACGCCAACTCTAACTACCACGCCAGCTCGTACCAGTGCTGGATCTACTGGCCCCAGGCACCCGTCTACTACGTCGAATGCGCGTAAGTTGATTAATTGAGATTTTCGATTACTTTACTGGCGGGCTCATGTCAGCAGGTTACATCATGACCAACACGAATGGTTTCTTTTCTGATAGCAACATGACATTCAGTTGTCTATAGTTGCGCAAAAAAAGTAAAAAATACTATGCTTTTACATTACGACTGTCAGTAGGCCAGTTTTAGCTGAAAATGAATTGAGATAATCTCAGTCCGTTGAGATTTATGTAAAGGCATCTTATTCCAGCACCAAGTACTGTAACAAGCCGCGGGTGTTCGGGTGGATCCACCGCTGTAACCCGGACAACTTCCAAACCCGCACCGTGCTGGCCTGCTGCTACGACGCGTACACTAATGCGTACTCCAAGGCCGCGTGGTTCGAGCTTGATCTTCCTCAGAGCTGTGAGTGCTACGACTACGCATGCCCACACGACAGTCAGAAGGTGTACTGATTGGTCGGTGAAACGCCTAGAGAAAAAGATTTTAAAATAATTGCCAATATATGGCAATTTTAATTGAGAGGCGTTCTTAATATATTTTGCCCCCCTTTCTTAACGCGTTTGGCTCACTATTTCTATGCACTCCACGTTATTTATGAGACTTTAAAGATATATCCAGCTCATTCGATGCCCCTTTTCCATTTAATATTTTAGAATTATCAAATATTAAACTTAATCTTTGGCACAGTCATTGTTTGGTACCCAAATTATTAACAATATCAATTAGTATTACTTCTGTGTATAAAAAAAACTGTTTTGCTTTGTATTTCTATATTGAAATTACAAGAATAAATTTTGAATTTTATCAGCCATACCGTTGTTTGAGTTTCATATTGAGCTGTAATCTACACGATGTTGCGATCGGAGAAGGTAAAACAATTTGACCGCTTTTAGTGGTAAAATGTAAACGAGATGAAAGATAAAGTGATACTAAAATGTTTTGTTCAAACAGGCATTTTGTATATGATAGTGTCTACACAAACTCACTCTAAAACATTGTTGTTTGATCCCCCCTCCAAATCGTTCCCTACTTCATTGGATCTCCACTTCAATTTAACATTTATGGCGATTATAAAACAATAGAATTGATATAAAAATTTAACAAAACCAAAGTCAACAAATAGAAACGAATAACTTTATTTTAACAATATCAAAGATTATAAATATTAGGCCTCAGAACCTTTCGCATAAATATTGCATAATTTTGTTTCACAAAACTACCGCAAGAAGGGCGGTGTTTTGGTCAGATGTGACGGTTGTTTGTTTGCACGAAATTGTTCATGATCTATTTCTTCATCTCGGAGCACTTTACATAATTTATGAAAACTAAAAGATATATATGACAAATAAAAGTGTGAGAATCTACTTAGACCTAGGACAGGTTCGCTAGTTTTTCTTGACCAAGCGCCACCTGATGGCCAATCTACACAACACCAATATGATGCAGGCAACGTCCATGATGAAACCCTGGCTTAAAAGGAATGACGGTGAATTTCCTCTACCAAAGGTACGTTATTTGCAACCTTGGAAATTCAGGATGAAGATGACTAATAAATTAGTACGTTTTACCTACTTGTGACAGAAACACCATAATTTCTAATTGACAGCATTGGTATATTTCAACTGATATCTAACAGGGCCGTAGCCTCCGGGGGGGCAGGGGGGGCAGCTGCCCCCCCTGGGATTTAGAATTTTCCACACTGGGAGGGGGACCCCCCCTCCCCCCTCGGGGGCTTCGCCCCCTCGTGTCCGCTTACTGCCCCCCCTGGCATTTTGCTCAGGCTACGGCCCTGTCTAATCTTAAATAAAAATGAAACACATGAATTTAAGTTCCATCTCATATATATTGCAGCTTCGTAAAATGACATTTTAATGAGGTATGTCTCGACATTAAACTAGATACAATGTGTTATATTGACTTGACAATACTCTTTGACCCTGAAGGCCGTCAGAATATTTAACTTCCCAAAAGGGAAATAAAAATAACAGTTACCACCAGCAAGAATCTCTGTCGGTACAGACATATGTGATCTTATCTCGACCAGTTTTGAAAAATAATCTTAAATCTGTTAACCAAGCTCAACTGCAATTTTTAAGTAATGTTTAAGATTTACGATTTTTTTAAAATCTTCACAGAGATGATACATAGACACCTTTGTAGCAGTACTTAAGCTGGATGATGCATTTTAGATTTTTGTTTTTGTGGAAAAGAAATAATACCGTTTCCCCATATCAAAATGTCCGTCTCCTCTATCGATACATATTTTGTAAATGTGCGTTTTCAAATAAAACACTAAAATTTCCTCTATTATGCTATATTCAAGCATCAAACAGCCATATACGATACGTCATTTCCACCGAGAAGATTTTTGGAAGAGTTAGTGGCGCTTTCATACGGAATGGTATTATTGCCTTGGACTTTTCCCTTCCCAAAGGACCTCCGCCAACCCTTATCATTCATATAGTTACTGTTCATGTCAGACCCTGGCTTTCCGTACTGCATGAATGTCCGCTGTGGTTTCGGCGGCGCCGGGGACCCAGGGGCACTGCCACCGCCAGAACCCTTCTTGATCGACTGTTCTGACCCTGTCTCCGAGATTCTTCTAAACGTGTACTTCTTGTCTGGCCTCTGGAGGGAGCTAGACGCCGAGGAGCTGCTAATGACCTCATCTCCGTTGTGTCCGTTCCTGATGATGAAAAGGTCGGGGGTCTTAAAGCCGTTGGGCAGGACGACTGGAGGGGGGCTGCCGCTCTGCTGAATAGCGCGCGCCGTGTCCATCTCGATATAGTCTCGGCTGTCATCGTGGGAGTTGGTTTGCGGCGGCTGCGAGCGTCGGTTATTCATTGTAAGGTACAGGGTGTCGTCCTCGGTGCCGCTTAATGACGCGAGGGGGTTTCTCGTCATCCCATTGACGGTGACCCCCGGGGTAGAAGGCTCTGAATCTTTGTCGCCAGATTTTGGAGAAAGAGCGATGGCTTTGAAGTCCAGAACCGGGTAATGCTGCTTTGGTGACTGTAGCTGTTGTTGCTGAAAATTCACATTTTGTCGTCTGCTATTGAAAGACTGTCGTATAACTTTCGGAGACAGACTCGAAAACGCCGAAACCGGTCGGTTTTCTCCGGGTTTCCCAACCATTGAAGAGCTTTGTCGGTCTTTGTCGGCGAGATTGAAATTATTTGACGGCGGCGACAAACTCGAAGAAATATCTCTGCTTTTCACAGCAGCATTTGAATGCGCAGACGAATTAGACAATGTCGGAGACATGACGTCCCTCCCGGAAGAAGGCAGGGACCGGGGGGTGCACTCCCCACCAGAGGATGACACATTATTTTTACTGGAGTGCCCAGAGTGTGGAGTACCACCCCCGGACGAGAGAGAATCGTTAGCCAAAATATCTTCCATGCTGTCCGACTGCGCCGCCGTGGAGAAAGAGAGCGGCGAGAGAGGGGTGCGATCCCTGGCCTTCATGAATTTCAGCTCGTGGATTCTCTCCAGCCCGCTGGTGTCCAGCTCCTCCGAACTCTTGCTAAGCTTAGAGGAGATGTAGGACAGCCGAACTGGTCGAATACGGGGAGGTAGGGGCGGCGGGGAAGGGGTGTCGCGTCTGTCGTCTGCAGGGTGATGCTGGAACATGTCCTTGATAGCGTTCACCCGCCCTCTTCCTAAACTTCCATTGGTTGACGATGAGAAGCCTTCTCCCCCTGGGGTGTCATCTCCCACAGGGGGTGGAGGGGGCGGGTAGCTAGGGGGCGAGTCTTGGTTCTGCTGTTGTTGGTGGTCAGTTCTGAGAAGTGTGTCGGGTGTTTTTCTTCCATTTGTTAAGGCGTTGTTTGAGGTAGGTTGTTGACTGCTTTGAAAGCCGACCTTTGGGTTAAGCTGCTGGAATTTGATGGTTTTCTGTTGCTGTCCATGGGTGGAAAATTTCGCCTTAAGCTCCGTGTGTGAGATGGTCGCTATTTTGGTGGTGGCGGCGCGGGTCTGAAACAAAAACAATTCTATAAGGGAACGTGTTTTAAGAAATGAAACGATTGGTGAAGCTCGTGCAATATAATCTCATCTAATAACTAGACATAAATTGTCTTTAAAATCAAAGCAGATGTGGCCAACAAAATGGCAAAAAATTGAAAATACCACATGTAACGTCACATGAAGTGACATGAAGAACATCAAGCACCTTGTATGGCACTTAACCATATACTTATAATATTATTATAAACGCCGCACTGGTAAAAGCAGCAAAACAGAAGTAAAATGCCTAGTTCTAACCTTGCGTCTGCTTTGGACTCTCTCGAACATCTCTCGTGCTATACGCCTCTGTTCTATTTTCCATAAAGCTGATGCGTCGGTCAAAAACGACACCCAAATACCGAAAAACGCGCTTGGAGTGGCCTAAAAAGAAAAATATTCCATTCAAAATAGAGAAATTTTGTTATAATAGTAAAATTTTTGCCAAAAGTGCCAATTGTAAAGAAAAGGTATTTTTATCAACATGATTTAACTTGCTTTAAAAACTTATCCGAAGATGTGCTACCCCTACCTCCAATTGGAGGCCTACCTTACTCGATTATGTTATAAAAAAAAACATTTTGTTGGAAATGTAAAGATATGGTCACATCTTTAACTTCACCCTACCTGATCATTTTCATTTCGAAAGGTAAAGAAGGCTACAACACCTTCAAACGAAAAGGTGGACGCGGTGTACTTCTGCATCTGGGAGAGATGAGTGTCCTCGGCTGTAACCAGAATGAGATAACTTGGATTAAGCAATCAGAATTGATTTTTCCTTAAATTTTCTTGTGCTATTTCGCCCATCTTTGCAATAAACCAAATATGTATATGGTAATTCAAAACAAATGAGCAGAATTGGGAGGAAGAGCACCGAACTATGGGGGTATGAGCACGCCAATGTTGCCAACAGTTTATGCTACGACCGAAATTCAAAAATTTCTGAACATTTCACAGGAGCGGATTTGGCCGTCTTCTTGGTCTTCCGGAACACGGTCAGATTTTCAAGTTTACATTGGTGGGTATCTAATTTTTTTTCTGTCGGAAGACGGTCAAAAATGGTGGATGGATCAACAAAGATAATTTGGAAGACTGTCAGAAAATATCTCTGATTCCGCCCCTGTTTCACAAAGTCATAAAAATGTAGTCACGGAAAGAGTTGTATTAACGAGGTGTTTTGCCACTAATTTTGCAATGGCCATTACACGGAAAAGTCTCCGTAAGTCTAGTAATTCAACCCTCATGGAAAGCAGCATTGTCATACACGCTGAAATTAACCGACCTGTCTCAAAAAACTCCTCCATGTAATTCTTGAAAGGTTGAATGAGATGAGCTTCCGTCTCTTCGTAGATTTTCTCCGCCTTAGTTTTGTGTCTCGCCAGCTCGTCCTGCGTCCTCTCCAAGGTCGCTTTGATTTCGTCCAGCGAAACCGAGGCTGCCTGTTGGAGAGTTTGCATTTCGGGGACGTCGAATTTAGAGGTATTCTTGCCCGAGTTTTCTTCAAACTCGTTGCAGTAGGTGCGAATAATGTGCTGGAGTAGGTTTATACTGCCATCCTAGAAATGCCAGAGAAGCGAGATGAATGCGCTACTATACACAGAAAAAAGTCGTCGTGAGTTTTTCAAAAAGAAAATCGATGCTTAAAAAATAGAAATTCCTGAAATTGTCATCATAAGGTTTTGCATCATTTTTAAGAAGAGTGAACCAGTACAGACTTTTTTGGGGGGTGGGGGAGTCATGTCCGCTGCATTTAATCTGAACACAGAACAGAATTTCTCAGACGTGTCAGCCGTACGTACCACACTTTTGATGTCTTTCACTTTACTGAGCGCCTGTAGCTCGAAGCCGTCCGCCTGGCCTCTCTGAGTCCCTCCGTTCATGTAGTTCCCAAAAGCAAGCACCAGCTCTATGAGCGTCTTTAGAGTCTTGCAGCTCTTCACTTCGTCACACGCACTTAACAGATAGGTTAGCTGTTGGTCTGTAAAGTAAAAAAGGCAGGGGTTCATTGTAGGTTTTCTTATAAAAGAGAACTCATTTATTTCCAAGGTTTGCTCATGATCAAGCTGCCATACAGTCCAATAAGTGCCCACGTGAGTTCTTCAATTCATTTATTGACTTTTTATATGCGCCACTAGTAACCTAAATACAGTGGTAATACATTTTTTCCGCATTTTAGATACTTTGTTGTGTATCAATTTTGTTTACCCCCAGCCTCAAATATGGCTTCATCAGAACTTCGTTTTATTAATCAACAACAAACAATAACCCATATATTACTTATTTACTGCTCCACAAATCAGCATATCTGTTTGTTTTTACCTGTATCAAAAGCGGCCTCCGTGAAATAAACTGACCTATCTCCAAGAATGTGCCTTTGATCTTGAGGTGAAACCAATGGTTGCACAACTTTGTTATGTTGAGCTGCTTAAAATATTCACGCTACGGAGCTTATTTTCTCCATAATTACACAATTTACACCTTCGCACGTTCTTACCTGTATCAAACATGGCTTCCGTGAAGGTGCGTTTGTACAGGAGACACTCTATTCTCTCGGTGAGGTGTCTCATTTTGGACAAGTCGAGCAAAAACTGATCTGGTTCGTCGAGGGGAGCTAAAGACAAATTGAAACTGATATATGAACACTGTATAAAATTAATACATAATGACATAATGATATTTGTATTTTTATACTTATAAATGTGCATTTGATTTTATATTTTATATAACGAGCAGTATATCTCAATTCATTTGCCATATGCGACACGATGTGTAGCATTTGGTTATCGTAACACCTTGTAACTGCCTTACCAATTTAAAGACAGAAAAAGAGAAACGAGTATCTATACGCCTAGGCCATACTGATGTTTATGAAACGGTCTCATTTTAAGTACTCATTTTAATCAAATGAAATGATTTTTTTTCTGCGTCTGGTGAAAGATCGTAATTCCTGCTGACGTCCATACCTGCAGATTTAGCCTTGACTTGCTGGTGAAGTTTTTCCAGTTCTTCAGGAGTGGCGATGATTGTTCTCAGTGTTTGCAAACTGAAACAGAAACAGATAAATTATATTAAAATATAAATTTAGATTTAACTAGTGCCAGACTGTCGCATTTGGTATAACATGGAAACGTGATCTCTCGTGTGTTTATGGATACGAACGAGTAGGATAATGAAATCAATTTTAGTTTTTCCCAGTTTTCTAGTTTCCGGTTAAAAAAAGGCCCTTTGCTAGGGGAACTGCAAGATCAGAAATATACAATACGAAAAGTATTGCGATTATAAGTAGATAAAGCATAATATTATTATTAATAATAACTATATCATAGAAAATAAAACTTAAAATAATCATTTTCACAGAAAAAAAAACCAAAAAAAAAACACTAGACATCATGCCACAGGTTTCTGTTACCCACCTGTCCAAGTCTACTTTGTTGAAATCAAGGTCGTAAATTGCACTGTGGACATTCTCCAGCTTACACTGCTGGCTACGAAGCCATATGGCCACAGAGCGCGAGCGATTGGCTTCCAGTACCTTAACCGGCTGTAAAATAAAAGGAGTCCATATACTTAATGAGACTCGGTTAGTTAGAGCATTAGAACAGGTACATTCAGGCGACTCGGCTATCTTCGTAACCCACATATCGTGTACCTTCGGCAATACAAATATTTTTCTTCAGTAAGAGCAAGGGTTCTGGATAAGATCAAGATATGGCGTCCAACTAGAGCACGTATACAATAACTTATTATGGAGAAACCTTGATAGGGACACGACCATACCACATGAATAAAGTGTCGATCAAAGTGAAAATCACAATTACGATAGACATACCTGTACTTTGTTACCCCGTCGTTTTAACGATGTGGCGTCTTGTGTCGCCATCTCGTGGCCATCACTACTCTGGCTACGCGGTTTACCAAAAAGCCTGGAATATGAAAAAAGAATAGATATGTTTATAATCACACGGCACTTGAGTTACAAATGCTTAATAATTTCTACGACACAAACAGGGTCTACTACTATCAATATCTGTTTTGACAAGAGCAACAAGGTTTATTTGATTAAGTTCTACACAAATCTGGAGTTGAATATAACCGTTTCAAACGGTTACACAATTTTTAGATAAGAAAAGCTTAAAACAAATAAACTACAAAACTATGTTTTTTCATCGTTGCAAAATAAAATTTGCACCTGTTTTAAACTTCAGCTTTCAGGATCTTAGAACAACTTGTAAAGTAATGATCTAAGTCGCAATTGACAAAAGTCAAAATTATTATTCGCTCGTCATTTGTCTCATGTTATTAATTCACCTTAGCGTCGTCCAAATGCTCGCATATGTTCAAACAAAGACGTTACACTATACTAAATGGCACAAGTGGTCAGGTATGATTAATGGAATATAGAGTAAAGGTTCTGAATTCATAAAATTCTTCAAATATAAATCAACATATCATGCACCATTTTGTCAGTCCTGTAAACTGCATATTTGACCTTACTCTTTTAAGTAACAGATATGGTATTGTTTCTTATTTGAGTTCCCACAATTTGGTATTGGGCACTGATTAAAGATTTCCTCAAGGAAACATGACAGCCAGAGCCATCTATCGGGAGATAAATGACCCTTAAAGGATCATCAGTCAGATATGCCTAGTCCCTGTCACGCAATCCGATCCATCTAACTTTTTTTTTTGTATGTGTGTGTCCTCCTCGGGTCTAATAACAAAATTACTATGACATGCCTCCCGAGGATGACAATAAGAACAACAAATATTTTGTGCACCTTCCCCTTCCAGATTAGAATTCTTTCGAATTGAAAATATTAATTGCAGAATTTAATCTATACCATCTTGGTTCTATCTCAAAGCGCATGACAAAGTACAGTTTAGACACAAAGTTCAAAAGAAATCTGGCAAACAAACAGGTATCGGATATTCCATTTGGACTGTTGATCTTGTACTTTGTGCTACACTCTAGCTGCCTTTAAAACCCTTACCCTTCAAATTCCTCCACGTCAAAGTTTGGTTCTGTCACTTCATTCCAGATGGTGATATCTGATGAAAGAAAAAGGAAAAACAATGTCATAAAATCCAACTGAAATTGGTCTTTGAAATGAATACTTGATTTCTATCAGGATACTCGTAGTATGCTCCATATGCAGTCTATATATAGAAGTTAATGACAAATTTATGACCATGTAGATTGACATCTCGCGACATGAATAAAGCAAAGCGTTTGAATGCAGAACATATTTAAGCGGATACCGGGGATAATTCTTTCCATATCAAAATGGCGGGTTCATCGTAAGTACCAAAACGAGAGAAAGGACCATCTATTACATTTTTTTTTCATCTCAGTGGGCATGGCGGGGAGGAGATGCTAAAACCATCATCCTTATCCTAATAACCCGGAGGGGAGACGAGGGAGGGGCAGAAAAAATAGCCCAAGGTGTAGCGTCTACTGCGCTTCCTCAACGTTATAGTGTCCGGCGCGTGACTAATATGATTGCCATTCAATCTATAACTGGCCCGAAAGAATACTTAAAAATTGCCATAGGGGTCAAGTTGTGATAACTACTGACCATATTCAAGTGAGCTAAAACGAACGAGTTACCGACACTGGTCATCTTCCGGGGATGACTTACCTTCAGACACCACGCTCCCCTTGGTGGGCAAGACGACCCTGTTCCAGTAGAGGGGGCGCATCTTCACGCGGGGCCGCACTGGGGGCTTCCTGGGGACCACTGCGGGTTGACGAGTCATCAAAGGGGCCGGAGGAGGTGGAGGGGGTGCCAAAACGTGCGTCCCTGCTGCAGGTGTTAAGGCTGGAGAGGCCGGGGGTGGAGGGGGGCGGGGAGACGCCGGCGTCCTGGCCTCTCGTGAGGATATTTTCGGCGACTCTGGAGGTATCATTGAGACCGTTTGCACTTGTACTCTTTGGTTTTCTCCCATGTTGGGTCTATCTTCTGAATGGAAATGCATCAACTTAAATTCATTGGAAATTGAAAATATGCCCAAATTTAATCACGAACGTCATTCACTGAGAACTCTCTCAAATAAAATTATCTTAATGACAATATTTCGAGGAGTCTGGGTACACGTATTTAATATAAAATATAAGATATACAAAATGTAAGATATAATTAGGCAATATAATTAACTATGTTATGGTAGGATCTTAATTGTGCCTTATGAATAAGATCATCTATTAGATAAAGTCTGACGGCTGTCTAAGATTAAATCGACGGAGGACCAAGTTCCCATGACTAAATTAACAAGCACATTGCGTTTCCTTACAGCTGATCACTCGACTGATATCTGAATCTTTTAAATTTTGAAGCCGTTTCTGTTACTTACCTCTTTGGCCATAATGTCCGTTAACTCCCGGCATTGACTTGTTGCCAGACTGTTCCAGAAGCTCTGCAATTTGTTTCAGTTCGTGCATTTTATTCATCAGTTCATTTATTCTGCCTTCGTATCCTTTCACAACACCCTGGTGTTTGCTCTCCATTTTTTTCATTCTCTCCAGGAGGGTTTTCTCGTTGTCGGAGAAGCACATATCATCGTCATTGACCTTGTTCGACCCGCCATTTTGCGTGTGGTTTCCCGCTTCCTCTCCCTGTCGTCTGCTGTTTTTTGTCGGGGTGGGAGGTTTCTTCTGAAGCGCTAATTCTTGGAAGGATTTGGCAACAAATGTATTGTTGTTGTTATTGTTCGGACTATCAAATGATTTGTCCGGATGTTTTTGTTCGAGGCTGGGTGTCGGAGAAGGAGAGTATCCCGGGTTGAAATTTTGATGTGGAGTTGAACCTTGTTCCGAATTTCCAAAATGGAGTCTCTCCGCCGGTCGGGTTATCTGGGGCGTAGTCTGTCTTGAATTGGAAGCCGCCGTGCTGGAGGAGAGAGTGCTGGAAACGCTTCCCTCTCGACTGCGTTTTTCCCAAAACGACAATGGCGTCGAGAGCGGGGTGGAGTTTTTAATATCCCGTGAATTGATGCTCTTTTGTACGGTAGTTGGGGACTTGCAAAAGTCGATAATTTTTGGTGACATCGGAGAGCCAAGAGAACCGTTGATATTTCTCTTCTGCAACCTTGGACTTTTAGGTTCGCTGCTCATGCTACTGTTCAACGATCTCGTATCACTATCCTCACTCCCGCCAAAATTCAGTTCCACCAACTCTATGAGGCGTTTCTTTGGAATGTAAGCCGAGTTCGTGACGATTTTTCTCGCCTGGTCTACCACTGTTTCGTCCGACCATCTGAAGTGGAGAAAAAATTACCAAATTAAGACAGTAAGAAGTAATTGTAAATACGAGAACCCTTACCCCGCCGAGTACAGTAGAGTAGTAAGGACTCTTGTCCCACTTCCTTGTGTGGGACGTCATAGGTGTAATAACAGGGGAGCTGACCGTGGAAGGCACGAGAGCTTTCTACCGTGTTATCAGCCCTAATAGTGCCGGTGCCTTAATAAGTAAATGGTGGTAGTTTGACCTCACTCTACCGTGTTAAAATTTAGTCATAATTCATTTGGCTAATCGGCTTGAAATGTAAACGATTGGTATACACATGGGAAATATATAATTGCGTTATTATTTTAATAATATTAAACAATTTAAAATGAAATATGCAATTTTCTAACAGCTAATAGCTAGTTTAAAAGAACACCTGAATGATAAAAAGTCAGTTTTTTAACACAAAATTTCTGTTAAGTCTACCTTAAAGTTCGCAGTATAAATACTTTTATAAAATTGACAAGAATGCTGAGGGAGCCGCACAAAACACTGTGGATGGAAAAAATTCTAAAAATTCACATTCGGCTTGTTCAGACAGCTAGGTCACTGCGACCAGCTTACTTCTCACTGATCTCTGAACGCTACGGTTTACGATTATAAGTGGACGATCGATGCACTTAATGTAAAAAAAATCCGATGCACTTAACGCAAAAAAGTTTCTGGTATTTCCAGTTCACACCTGCTCACTTAACACCTGGGTCCGTGGTTAAGTGTCGAGTTCGTGATAGATATGATAGACTTAAAAACCGAGATTAACAAGGGCTTTGATTAACGAGCTGCGTCGTCGGTTTTTAAGGTGCAACACTAACGCACGTGGAAGATATATCATTTTGAATTGAAGAGGAAGCTCTGAATAATCGATCTCCTTATAGAGTTTGTTTACCGACCGCAACCGGTACGAGCTCTACTTGATTACCATAATAACAAGGTGTGTATGTGTATACATATATAAATATGATTTCGAATGATCAAATTAAGGAGGAATGGGGGAATAAACACAATGTATAAAACTTCAAAAACAAAACAATTCGATCATCTTGAGTAATGATCCTTGGTTCCGGGCATGAGTCATGGACGGCCTGTCTCTCTCTCTCTATCGAAATGATCTCTTACAGGTGTACAGGCCATTTATTACCCGAGTACAACCTGAAAGATCGTAACTAAATTACATCTAATAAAATAAAAAAAATAGTCATCCACGTACGGGGCGCATAGAACACGAAAGATATGCCTTGCATTCTCTATTATTAAATGATAGAAAAAACATGTATTGGCAGTAAGAGCTAGTTATCGAAACAAAATGCGGCCCTGAACATGCACGTCTGAACTGCTTTATTACCAAACACCTGGTTCAACTAAATTTGTTTGTGCTTTAACTATCTATGCTTTCGTGATATCAACATCCGAGCATCGATTTGGTCATGTAATGAACTTATTACGATAGGCTTGGTGAATTCCACTCAATTATACCGGCGATACAGAAGAATGGTCGTAAAAAAACTCTGTTGCTATTGCCATTAAACGACTGGCGATTTTGGAGATGTCATTTTTTTCCTGTTGGGAGTCATACCAGACACTGATTTAAGTGCATGTGTTAAAGGGCCAATGCTTTTTAAATTAAAAGTGTTGTAAGAGGTGAGAAGAAAGAACAGTGAACGAAATCATGTAAAAGATATGTAAAAAACCGAAGGGATTTTTTTCGGCGAGAGACGATTGTATGATTAAGTGATTGAAATGAGCAAGAGGAGGGAAGCTACAGCTATTTCCTTTTTCAGACAGTGTGGACGTTTAATGGTGTCTTGTTGATAATTTTGATCGTCTCTAGGAGATGGAATAAACCACTTATATCGTATTAAGTTATAACGAAGAGTGGGGTGTCAAGTTGGACTTACTTTTATTCATTTTTTAATCTCAATATTCTCACCTGTACAAATGCACACTGTCCTCAAACCCGCTATGTCCGACGATACTCTCTATATGGTTATGGTCAAGCAACCACTGGGCAAACTTAATGGCCCTGGCCCGGCTCCGGAAGCGGTGGGGGTCGTGTTCCATTAGCGTGGTGACCAACACTGACCCCTTGAAGACGTGCTTGAAGACGCGATCGCGGCGCTCCATGATGGGATGGAGGAGATGCGCCTTGTTGTTGATGTTGCTCGGTCTGAAAGAAAGAAATAACACGTGAGAATATCATGGCGGTAATGAGCGGAATATATATTTATGTATGGAGAAGACAATACACACGATGAAATTTTTTTAATGATTTTTTAAAGAAAAAACAAACATAATCATAAAGAGCTTGAGAATATACCGGCGATATAATAATGATAATGGCATCATTCTACTTGTAATATTATTGTATTTTTTATCATTATTGTGATAAAATCAACAAAACATCACGCTATATCTTTGCGGTCTCGTTTAACCAATGTGGTATATATACGCAAATATACCACTTCCCCAGCAACAAAACACAGCGTATGGGGGTTTAAATTTCACTGTGTCTAGGTTATCTCCGTTGACTTGTATCAGAGACAGGAGACAGCCCCTGCTTAAAGTTTCACAGTCTCTCTCCGGCGACATGTGACGCTATGAAAAAATTCCGCACGATAATCTACATACGTCACGGAAAGATTTGCTGCTATCTTGTTGGAACTAACCTACAGTTAAAGCACATGTCTAGATCTTGTTCACGCACACTCTACCCAACTATCAACCCGTCAGCTGTGAACTTACACGCACACATAACACGCACACACACATAACACACACACACACACACACACACACACACAAGCACGTACACTGAGGAATATGTTACTATACTCACTTCTACCAGTTCTCTCTACAAAATTCTACTTGTTCAGACTTGCGTGCAGATTATAAAGAAATGTGTGTCAGAGAATTCTGCGCTACACAACTTCCGTTATTATTAATCACCGCAAGTCCGAGAACTAACTTATATATGGTCAAACTGTCAGCGGTCTCATTCAGCACCCAAAATACCCCCACGGAACGCTAGATTACGGTCAACTTGGTCAGAGCGATGATTTAATAGCCGCACACCCACGAAACGCCAACTTCGCTCCGTCATTTCAGCTAGTCATCAACGTAGCGTTCATCTTTCTGATCTTTGTGACCTGACCGTAACATGTAACTGAGATTTCAAAGTGTGATAGGTTAATTTTGTCGTAGGTATACATGCCATGTGTAGCGAGGACGTCAGTGATGAAGAGACAAGCGGTTCATACCATAATATGTACATTTTTATTACCTACACTATGGAAGGGGCTATATGCATTACGGTAACGTTTTCCATGTTGAATACTCCTTCTTCCTCTTCTTCTCCCCCCCCCCCTTTCCCTCATCCCCTGTCTCTCTCCCTCTCTCTCCCCCCCCCCCTTCTCGATATCTTATTAAATCGATGAACATTCTCCCTTTATCAAGCCTAACCCTCCCCATCTATTTTCTTTCCCTTTTTGTAGCCCCTCAAACTAAATTTCTTCCTTACCCCTCTTTACCTGGAAGGTGAACCATAGCGACCCAAGAATACCGAGATATAAGCAAGGTTAAAAAGAGAGAAATAGTTCAATTGAACTCGTATTTTGATATGCGTTTCAACCACAAGATATATACTCGGTATACTAAACACGCGCATTTTGACCTAAATTCCAAATAGGCGACGTTAAAAAATGTTGCTACTTTTTTTTAACGTTAATCAGGTGGACGGCGTCCTATTTTCCACGGAGACAAACCCCCTGTTTATATATTGTTTATTTGACAGTGTTTTAGATCGCACTATCTTGATAACAACACACGCTAGACCGAGAAATTATTCTATGACATACAAAACAATGACGAAATCCCCAAGTCCATAGTTCACACGACTGTCTTGGCGAGCCAAGAACAGTGGGACTCTGTGACTTTCAAATTGGATATGATAATTTAATGTGATGTTCATTTGAGGCGTTTAAGCTAAAATCTTGATTTATGTCCAAAAATGCTTTAGTTCAAATGTCTTTTGTGGGAGAAGCTGTAATGATTGACGTTGAGCAATGGCTTCTCTCTCGCCGCAAACGCTATCGTCTGCTCGACTCCGGCCCGTAATGGATCGTGTCACGGCTTGTTTTATACTATATAAACACAATCTGGGAGTTTAACACATACGCTGGCCTTTCACTTGGCAAAACCATCATGTGTTTTCGGTAGCCCGCGAAAAGTGATTAAAAAACCAAAAACAAATATTCCATTACCATTCCTTTCAACTCGCGAGTTTTTGAGACCCGCCCTATAGCTGTTTTATTTCGTTTGAGGGTAATCTAGTGTTCCAAGATATCTATTTAGTTGAAATGCGGGCTGGTAAAGTAATTTTTATGACTCTTTTATGCTGCAAAAATGTAAACGCACTTAAACACTCAAAGAATATTACAAACCAGTGTTTGATGTCGAGGTAAAGTGGGAGACAAAAGCACTCAATCTACCGCAGCGTTCCTGGCCTGTTGATGGCCAACTTTGGTCCCCGTTTATTTTTGTCATATGATAATCAATTATGATAATTAACGACACTTGATTATTGTGACTGGATGCTATACGTTTCTGTTGTATTTTCATAACAGTTTAATTAACTTTTTCAAGAGCAGCAAATGCGCATTTTGTTACCGGATTTATTCGAAGCCTGGGCGCCTTCTAAGTAAATAAGAATTAATGAAGACTAGGCTTTCTCAACCGGCTCCGTATACATAAAATTGCGTTGCAATATGCCGTAGGACACAAGACAAATTGTACGAGCATGAATCGTCGATCACAATTTATATCAGCACAATATCACTCTGGCGGTTCCCACACATACACAATTATCATTCCACATATACTATAAGGTCTTGTGTGTAAGAAGTTCACAAAGAAACACCATGCCAGTTGAAGTACTACCTATAGGCGAAGAGATTGCCATCTCGAATATGATCATCGCAACCCTCTCTCACGACCTCTCACGGGGAAATATTACGTTTTCTGCATATCGGTTCATCTCGGTGATTTGGGAAAACTTTCTCTAATATGGGGACGGCGTGCATTCATTCAAACGACGATATTTACCAACCTTTTGCATTTTATCTAGCCTAATCACGAAAAGTACATGGACGAAAATATCGAACGCTCTTTCTAAACGAGGGGAAAAGATATTCAAGAAAACAGCCTAGTAAATGTAACTTGCGTAGAAATACGAGGACAGAGAAAACACATGAAGGCGGAAAGCACGAAGATTGGCATCTCGAATATGATATTTTCGGCATTCTCTCACAATAGAGAAGAGACCGCGGGAAAACATTGCAGGAGACATAAAGTGTGTTATCTAAACTGCCTTCATACAATGATATTTGTATTAAAATAGTTTCGACAGTGTAACAGAAGCTTAGGACATTTTAGCACTTTTATTTTGGTTATATCATAAAAATATTAAATGTATGGTAAACGACGATGGCTAAGCCCTTACTGTCCCCCTCCCTCCCCCCCCTCCCCCCAATCACCAACCGACTATTCCTACCTGTATTCGGGGGTGGGGCAGTCCCTGTCTCCCACCGGCTGCATCCCGTTGCCAAGACAACTCCGATTAAGCAACTTCCAAGTTCCCATAATCATCCTGATAATCCGCCGGGTTTCAAAAAAATTCAAATATTATTCTAAAAGACTCAAAACAACAGGCCGCATCCTTACGCGATCGAAGTTACTGTGTGAGTAGAAAGGAAGCTACCCGAGAAAGCATTCCTTGGTGTTTATCCAGCGCTATACAGCCGAGAAAAAACCCTGAATGTTAGGTAGATGAAGCGCAAGCTTTCCCGTTACAATAACAAGGCCTATTTTACAACTTTGTTTTTATCCATCGGACTATCTTCCACATCGTTGTGAATCACAGCTTTAATGAGGTCTGTTTCCTATGGCTGACTCTGGGCTAATTTAATTGTTTTCTTGTCTGCATATCTCTTTCCAATTAAGTCGTAATACTTTCAGCACGATGGCACTCCTAGACTGTAAATAGACGATGAAGTCATACAGCAGATGATATGCTTGAACTTGAATGTCCTCCCGTTGTTCATAAACTCTCTCCTCTCTCCGCCCTCCACTCAGTCCTCTATCTTTCGATCTCTCCGAGTCACCCCTCTCTCTCCGGCTCTTTTACACCTGAATGAAGAAAGCCCATGCGTGCTGTAATTATATCTCTCCGTCGGGGCGCTTCGGGATGTTCCGTGCTCATCCGTCAAAACGTCAACCCTTCGACCTTCGCTCCCCCTCTCTTTCTGCTTCGGCCTCTCTCCACACTTAAAAAGCACACATTGCTGTTTTCCCCTATCAAAGTAAAGCAGGATGTATTCTCTCTCTCTCTCTCTCTCTAGCAGTTGGCTTCTTTACAAAGGTACATGTGGAGCATCTGCCCACACGTTCAATTCGGCACTATCTCGGTAAACCCGGGACGTTACGCATCTCCCTGTCAACCCATCAACATGAACAAGTCATCCTCATATGCATCTGTCAGATTTGGTCATGTGCCTTTGGCAACAACGTGCTCCTTGCCTCCCCTTGTCTTTATCGCAGTTGACGATTACATTATGGAATGGAGACAAAATAAAATAGATGGCGAAGTAAGAGAGAGGGTCGTAAAGGGTGACCCACACAAGGGACGCTGCTGATGAAATGGTCAGAAAGCTTTCCAGCCATTTTGGGCTCTGGTACCCGGTTGTTCACATTTACTTTCTGCGACTCTCTCTCTCTTTAAAACCAAAATATTCTAATTGTTCTTTGTAAATAAAACTCCTCTGCTTTTTTTTTAATCACAAAACCTCTTTTTCGAAGCCTGAGCCTTAGATCCGTTTCTAAAGAATAATAATAATACAAAGGCTGAAACTTTTGTCTTCGCCTTTGTTTTTGTAAATTGGCAGCTTTTCAGAACACCCTGAGTTTTATAGGTGTTGGCTTAGCGTGTACAGTCAATCTCTTTGCTACTCACACAGAGTGCTAAACAAAGTCGAAAAAACGCTTTTCCGCCAAAATATGAGCTTTTGACCTAGGACTGAAACATTATCCTCGCCCCGTTTTCCTTAAACTGACATCATTTTGAGACAAAATGCATACATTCCTACTTGCAAAGAGGTGTCCGTAAACATGCCCTAGCTTGTTAAAGTGAACAACTAGCACTTGGTTTCGGATGTGTCTGAAAAACGCAGTCAAGGGGGCAGTACTGCAAACCTCTAAGTATCTAAGTAGGAAAAGTACTTTTATTTCATTTTTTTTCTCTCTATTTTATTAGACCTGATAGACATCAATACGTTCATATAAACCGTTATCCGTTACAGAGACAGTTGGGGTGAGGGTGGGGGAGGGGGTGGCTTGATATCCATGATCCACCAGTGTTTGTAGATTTCAGTAGTGTTTCCTGTCAACTTGCGGGAAGAGGGTATCAAGATGGGTGGCCAAATATTCTTTCTCTTGTCATTAAAAAAAGTGCTGCACTCGGGAGCGTTCCAAAGTACATGAAACATGTGTCTGAGGGCCTTTGTGTTTTTTCTGCCTTTTTGAATGGTTGGGGGGGGGGGGGGGCTAGATTCGTCACTTTCCGTTTTGAAAAAGGGGGGAAGCTTTGGATCCGCTTGAGTTATTTAAACACCAAAAGAAAAATGCATAAATATATGCCACGAACGGCATCGAAAACCCGTATTTCAGAAAAAAAACTGCTCCGGGAAACCGCTAAAAAAGAACGTCAGAATTACGCTTAGAAAATGTAAGGCCTGCTCAGTAGCAAAGAGAAAAGTCATTGTCAATTAATTAAACAGAAGTGTTCACATTGTGTGAAGTGTGAAGTGTGAAGACCTTGTGAATATAAATACGGAACAGTCCCAGGGTGCAAGAGGACATGCGCGCGTGCACACACACACACACGTACCCACGCACACGCACGCACAAACAAGCGTTGGTTAAATAGAAAACTTTCTTCGATCCTAACTTGTCACAAAAACGTGTTTTTGCTGCAGTTAAACATTACAAAACTGGTGTCCATTAACGCATCCGACAACTGTGCAATATACAAAATATACACCCAGGGGGTTGTTTTACAGGAAAAAAATAGTCCCTACGCCCATTAAGCACACACGTCCTGTCAAATCTTATGTACCATTTAGCAAAGACGTATAATTTCGCCTACACGGTGGAGAAGAAAATTGCCAGGGGGGGTCGGAATCCCATACCTGGTTATTAGGTCTGTCTAATGTCTTCATTCCCAGTGCTCTCCGGGGAGAAACCGCCTAAATCACCGGCGAGATCGACAGGTGCTTGGTGAGATCAGGGACAAATAAGGCGAATTATTTGTCCAGGGTGAGATACAGGGACGTTTTTCTTTGTGTTGAAGTTTTCAACCGTTTTAGTGTCTGTCGTCGTTGTGCGGTAGGTGCGAACATAGACACTGGAAGCGCAATCCTTTGTGCTAAGAGTTCAGTTTTTAATCATCGACTTTATTATTGTGGAAGAAGTGTGAAGAGGTATACCAGAACGTGTGTTCTTTGTACTTTGTATCTATTCTTTTATCAGCGTTGTTATCACTGCTGTACAATACACAGACGTTACCCCTTTCTCCTTTTCTCTGAACGATAAGGACATTGTAGCCCCCCCCCCCCCCCACTTTCTGAAAGATGGACAGGTGTGATAAGATGAATACCATTTCTTCCCGTTGTATTTTCCTTAACTTAAAACTAGATATATAATCATATTACTATGGTCGTGTTGCTTCAATACAAGGACAGTCGTTATCTCAACAGCAAGCCTCTTCTCGCTGATAAAGTATTCTAGCTATTTTTATTTTCTTTGAAAGAAGGTGTTTGCACCTATCCGTGACTTATTATGTGGAAATTTGGACATGACGGTTTGACCTCTCCTCTCTCTCTCTTTCTCTCTCTCTCTCAAACACACACACGAGAGAGAGAGAGAGAGATTGTCTAGGGCATGGTGGTTATATTTAATGGTCTACCAAGTAATTGTAAGTCTACAGTCAAGTAAATCGCTATTTCAACCTATTTGAAAAAATATTAAATATCAAGCAGCGTGGGAATAGTTTCATACTGAGCTTATTACTAATGTTGTGGCGATGACAAATTCACCTGTGACAAGAGACGAGCACAGGTCATACATATATCACACATTGTATCTGATTCTACGGTTTATATATCTCATCACAACACAGCTAAACAACTCGTAAGCGGTTAGCTCAAGGAGCAAGGGGTATCGAATTTAAGATCTTTTTATTTTCATGCCCAAGACGAAATGAGTGAACCTTGTACTAAGGACCCAGTAACCAGACAAAGAGTCTTTACTTTATATCAAGGTACCAATCGCATTTTGAAAAGTTTCTCATCCACCTAATACGATGTCATGTTATCCCGAGATGCGATAAATACTTCTCTCAACTTTTCCCATATAGTTGAACAAAATCACACAACTCAGACCATCTAAAATAGCACTGACTCTCTAATTAATACACTTCTCTCATATTGAAACACACGATAATGGGAGCATAACCGACAATTTGCGGCTGAGGAAAAAACCGAGGTTTGCTTTTATTGTTCTCCTCGATACCGGCTTCCTGACCTTATAGTAAGTAATAGTAACTTGTTTTTTGTCATTATTTTCCTATAGTTTAATCAATGGATTAATTAATTTATTTATTTTCTTTATAAAATCCATCAAGCCTTTTTTTTATCAAGAAGACAAATGTCAGTCCTCTATTCTCGCCTTTCACCGGTCGAGTTAATGTTGTCACTCGTGCCTCAGTCCGTCACAGAGCCTAGATTAATATGTCATTGTTTTAAAGGTGCCGTTGGAATTTTTTAACTGACAGCCCAGGCATCATGATAGATAGCACCCACGGTAACAGGGTCGTTAGATTTGACAGTCAAGATCTAATTATTTCCAAAACATAAACTGATATTATTGCGGTGTTTTATGGTTAGGAAGGAAAAGTGAAATGGGGCTAAAAGCTCGGAGACGCAGCGTCGGGAACGCGCGAATCATTCGGTTTTAACTGACCGGGGGTCAGCCAGAAGATGACCACATCACATCAAACCAGTATATTTCGAAGTCCTTGAAGTTGAACGCGGCTTTGAAGTCTGAAAGTTCATACGGTCAATGTTTTTAAGACGCTGGTGACATGTTCCCTTGGGTATAAATTCGGGGAAAAAACGCGACATATCAGAAGATATAGTCTAGATATACTTCAAAGGAAAGCACAGTCGTCACATTTTTTTAAAGAAAGACCTGCCTGTAAAAGTAGGCTGATCGACAACTTCGCCCTTTCAGGTAAATAAAATGTAGTCACGTTCGAGGGAGAGCGACGTCCTATTTCGTCTGTACTTCACATATATCCTACATTTTATATGAACGTTGCACTTACCTTGTCTGCTGGTTGCCCATTTTGACGTGTGCATTCCTCGGTGTCCGAACAATTCTCTAGTCAATCTCGACTTCACAGATGTATAATAACAAAATATTCAAATGACTCCAGTTGAGTCAAAAACAAATAGTGTGGGAATTACCCCGTAAGCGAACACTCATGCTTTAAAAAAAGAAGAGCTCCTTCGGCGTTCCCGCCCGCTGATCTATTTTTTCCTCAGGGAAGTCAGAGTGCATTCCAAGTGGAGGTGAAAGCTCTTCACGCCGATTTGCACCTGTCGTTCCTCTCTCTTCTTCTATCGATGTCTCACTCCGTTCATATCAATACCTTGAGTGATTAAAATTGACAGCAGCGTTCGCTCATGCGCTGTAAAGTCTTCGCTCATATTAGTCACTCTCTCTCCCTATCTCCTCTTGTTATTGTGTCGGATTCAATACACAGAAGTGAACAAAAATGACCCAAGTTTACATCCAGTTCCTCCGTCGTTTTCTTCCCTTTAAGGCTTATTGTGATGATTTCAATAGAACAAGGGGATAAAATGATAGCGCACTATCTGGCCCTCATCAGTCCGAACTGGAAAATCTCCTTGCGATAATATGCAGATATACTTCAGTTAAACCAGGTGGAGGAAGATAATAAGTTTGTGGAAACTTTATCAGAGTTAATGCTCGACATACCTAGCTTTAATTACCCAACAGACGCAGTCGAGCGAATCCTCCCGATTTGTCATGTACCGACCGGTTATCATAGCGTTCCCCTACCCCCCTCAGCCACGAGCTCGCCGTTACATTCTAATTTCATAAATGGCTTATGATCATTTATTTTATTTTATTTTGATTTGTTAATTTTTTTTTTTTTTGGGGGGGGGGGTTATTAATTTTTTTGTGAAGCATCATCTTTTATGGTTCAAAGTTTTTACCTGGATAACTTTTTAGCAATTAGACTACATGAA